AAGTTTATAAACCATTTGGACAATTCACTGACCATTTGAACAATTCACACGATGAGATGAGATGAGAGAAAATAATTTAAGGTTTTGTTGGGTGGGTTTGTGATTTTTCTAATTTTATTATTTTATTATTAATATTTAAAAAATATATTATCATCTGATTTTTTAGCAAAAAACTTTAATTTTTTACTTTGAATTAAGAACTTAAAAATCAAGGACGACTGTAATTTTCACTTATTTTTCCCCCTTCTAATTGTCAATTCTATTGACAAAAGTTAAAGGCCACGTTAGGAAACAGACAAGTTTCAATTTGCAAGCCCATACACGGTCGAATCGGTTTATTCAATAATAGATGGTTGTAACATCACATCAAGATAAAAAAAAATCTGAATAAAAAACTTTATCCCTTTTCTTTAAATCAACAGACTGAAGTTTGAATTAATCTTCGTTTCTGTCATTTCATTTTACTTTTCCCATACGAGGATAATTTTTTCCCATCACAAAAATCAAACTAACAACATTATCAACAACTTCATGTTTTCGAGCTTTTAGGTTCAATGAAATTTAGTGAATATAATCCTTAAGCCCCTGTTTGATAATCATTATTTTCAATTTTTTCTTACATATTCATTTTAAAAAATATATTCATACAAGAAAATATTTTACATGTAAACTCAAAATTTTTATCTATTTTTTAATCATACGTTTTTCTAAAAAATATTATTTAAAATTTTGTTTTCCACAGTTAATGTTTGTCAAATAGGGTCTAAGTTGAAAATATAATACTCGAGTTGTGACCTCAACAATTAGTTGTGGTTTTATAAGCACAATACGCTTAGTGGATAATCCTTAAAACAGTCGTACAAGATAAAAAAAAAATGGTTAAGCTACAAAATCTTTGTAACAACCTGACTTCTGTGTTCAAACCATTATATTATTCGTACTGTCCAATTTGGAAGAGCACAACACATGCTCTCTTACCATTCACAACTTTCGATCTCCCAAGATTCGAATATAAGACATTTGTCTTGTGATAGACTTAAAATTGAATTTTGGTACCGTCCCAATTTGATATAGTGCTTGTTTGGTAGAGATTTTGTTAATTGATTTTGATCGTTAGAGATAAAGTGGGTTCTACCTGTGAGAGAAGAATTCAAAAATGACGGTTGAAATAGTGAAATAATGGTAAAAAAATTAATATGAATTGAATTAAAATTTCTACTAAACATGCTCATAGATTAAAATTAATTTTTTTTTTTGTGAATTTCGAGAAAACGTGTGAAAATTGAATTTGAAAATATTAGAGCTCATTGTACCCCTCTTCTCCCACCCCACCTACTCCTCTTCCCCCATGACACCTACCTTCCTCTGTCTATATCTATATTGTAGATGGTGGGAATGCCCTTGTGGTAATATTCTTACAGCAACACAGCATGGAGATTTCTTCAAGTCATATTGTTTTCTTACTGTTGGGAGTGCTTCTATCTCCTTTCTTGGTAGAATGTCATCTCAAAACTCTGAAATACAGATCTGACACCTCTCAATTTCCCCCGAACTTCCTTCTAGGGACTTCATCTTCTTCATATCAGGTACTCTTGAGCAAACTGTAAAAGCTTGAAAAACCTGTAAAAGCTTGAAAAAAATGTACATTTCCCTTCTTCAATCATATTCATTCCAGCGTACAAATATAATCAGTATTTTCTACAGAGTTGAAAAATTCTTTACTGATTTTTTCCTCCCTGATATGTAACTCTTTGGTGCCTAGTGAATTTCTTTTCTGTTCTTACTTAATTTTTTGCAGTATGAAGGTGCTTACACGGCAGATGGTAAAGGTCTAAGCAATTGGGATGTGTTTACACATGAACAAGGTAAGAAAATTAACTTCATCATCATGTTTCTGTCAATCAAGAAAATAATTAAGATTCATCAGACAGTATTAAAGATGAAAATGAAGTAAAAATCTCGACAGTCATAGCGTTTGATAGATAGCGTTTTGTTCTTCCAAGTACAACAGACCAATCATGTGGTTGAAAAGCAAGGAAGATAGAGTAATGCTATCCACAATAAATGACTGCAGTGAAGCTAATGCCTCAAATACCCCGTTGTCACTTAGAATGACTACTATGAATAGCGACTATCCAAAAAAAAAAATATATCCGCATCTTGAAGATCTAAATTTTAATACCTTCAATTAGAGTTATATAAATAACAAATAGCCATTAACACACACTTTTGCAGGTACTATAGCTGATGGAACCAATGGAGATATTGCTGCTGATCAATACCATCGTTATCTGGTAACCCAGATATTTTTATCATTCGACTCTTTCTTGTTGAATTCATGAATTATGTTCCTCGATCGGCCACAAATTCCTTAATTTCTTGAAACAGGAAGACATAGATCTTATGGCTTCTATGGGAGTCAACAGCTATAGGTTTTCAATTTCCTGGGCAAGAATTCTACCGAGTGAGCATATTTCTCTTATCATTATACGCTCTTCTTTTCAAGAAATTACAAAAATTTCCTACTTTGGGGATTCTATTATTGAATGTCATTAACACTATATTTCTTTCTATTTTCTTAATTTAAGAGTTAGGCCCCACCCATTTTTTTAAAATGCATATTTCTCTCTCTCTTCTTTTCAGCTACACATTTTTTATTAAAATAATATTACACGTAAATCAATTATTTTTTAACAACACATTTCATATCAATTTACTATTTTAAAATACATTTTTACATAAAAATGACTTTTAAACACCCCTTTAGAGAGCATTTCTAGAGGCTCTATTTTTAAATAACATATTATATCATTTGGAAAGCAACTATAAATTTACAGAGTTAAAATTTTAAAATATTTCAACAAGTTCTTTATGCCCTTGTTTGAGCCATATTCTTTTGAAAAAAAATCTTTCTTCAACAGTGTTTTGACATCATTTTAACCACACATTTTTTAATAAAATAATATTACACGCAAATTCAAAATTTTTCCTTATTTTTTAACCACACATTTCTCATCAACATACTACTCAAAAATTTATTTTTCCCCAAAAAAGTAGCTCAAACAAGAGCTATATTTAATACTTAATTTTACTACTCTTAAAAAATATTTATTATTTTTCTCCTTCAATTTGCTTTTCTTTATATTATTTATTATTTTTTCTACATTAAAAGTTGATACACTTTCAATGCATTTAATTTAATTATAGAAAATGAGTTTGAAACCTACTCTCAAAATTAAAATGTTAATTTAAAGAGACTCTTGGATCATGATTTTAAAAAGATTGACTTTTAAAATAAAGATCATCTCATGTTTAAAGAATTTTTTGGAGATTCTCTTGCACCAATCATATTACACATTCAGGCTCAAATCCAAATTCAAATTTAGATGAGACACGTGTCAATGCATGATTGGACAGTTTGAAAAAATAAAACAAAAATATCTAATCATTTTCTAACATACTAGTCTGTATCATTACTTCCCTATTTTTAACCCTAGACAAGTGGGTTTATTCCTCTTACATAGCACGGTAGCATCTTAGCCTTCGTTTGCTAGCCATTTCTTTCAAAATGTATTTTTTTCTGTTCTTTTCAACCACACATTCTTTATTAATATAATATTACACGTAAATAAAAAAATTTTCCTTATTTCTCAACCACACATTTCACATTAATTTACTATTCTAAAATGCATTTTTACATAAAAATATCTATCAAACACCCCCGTTGACTATACAACTTCCTAACTTAAAATCTCGTGTTGGAGAACAGAAGGGAAATATGGCGCTGTGAATTTGGCAGGCATCGACTACTACAACAAACTCATTGATGCTCTCCTCCTCAAAGGTTTGACTATGTCTGTAATTTAACAACAAATTGGCTGCAGGACAAAGATAAAAAAATAATGAGAACTCATAATTTTATTTAGCAAGAAAATTCCTGTCCTGGGATCTAGTTCACATAAAATTATTGAAGCAACTTCCTTATTTCTCATGCTGCAATCTTTATCCACAGAAATCCAGCCATTCCCAACACTGGTGCACTACGATATCCCTCAAGATCTAGAGGAAAGATATGGAGGCTGGCTAAGTCCCAAATCACAGTATGTGCAATTAGTTTCTCAAGCATTTACACGAAAGAAATGTTATTGAACTTGCATTGCTTAATCTTAAAGGAGCCCTATTTTTTGTTTCTTTCCAGGGAAGATCTTGAATACTTTGCAGACGTTTGTTTCCAAAATTTTGGGGACAGAGTAAAATACTGGGTCACTTTCAATGAGCCAAATGTGTTTGCCATTCAGGCTTATCGTTTTGGCCGTTACCCACCAAGTCATTGTTCCAAAGGATTTGGGAACTGCACTACAGGAAATTCAGAAACGGAGCCCTTCATTGCAGCCCACAACATGATCTTGGCTCATGCAGCTGTCGTTAATTTATACAGAACTAAATACAAGGTACAATGTCTGTTTCCTGTCCACCACTGTAACATTCAAGATTAAATACTTCCAAACTAACAGATGAAACATGCTGAAACGCTGGATCGTATGATAGTTTTATGCTTTTCATAGAAAGACGAGATGAGTTTACAGTGATTTTGGAAGGAAAAGATATCCTGCACTGCAGAACAATTTTGTTTCTTGAATATGCAGGAGCCAAATAAAACAAATGTGTAGTTTCTTTTACAAGATAATATTCACTTACCAAACTCATTCGTGTTGGTCAATTCCAGAAGCAACAAGGAGGTCTAATAGGATTAACCGTACAGGACCTATGGTTTGAACCCAAAAGCAACTCCACAGCTGACAAGCTAGCAACAGAAAGAGCCCATGCTTTCCTTTCAAATTGGTAATTCCCTTCAAATTCAACCCATATATAGGAAATGACACTTGCTATGATAAAAGAAAAAAAGTCAAGTAATAACTAATTATGAATGCCATCTTAAATGTTGGCAGGTTCCTGGACCCAGTCATACTTGGAAAATATCCAACCGAAATGAAGGACATTCTTGGATCCACTTTACCAGAATTTTCGAAAAATGACTTGGTGAAACTACAGTCGTCATTGGATTTCATTGGCTTAAATTATTATGCAGCCTTCTACGTCGAAGACTGCATGTTTTCAACATGTCCAGCCATACCAGGGGCCTCAAGAACTGAAGGTTTCATTAAACAAACGACACAGAAGGATGGCATTCCCCTCGGGGAACCTGTATGTTTGTTACCAGCTTTATAGTTTCAGCAGTTGTCCTTGCCTAATTACTGAAGTGTCTAAATTTTGCAGACAGGGATGCCGTATTTCCATGCTTACCCGGAAGGATTGGAAAAAATGGTCACATATTTAAAAGAAAGATTCAATAATACACCAATTATTATTACGGAAAATGGTTAGTACAGCAGACAAGCATAATATAGTTTCTCTTTTGCCATGTTCTTCCCCCATACAATTCGTTATTTATTTTCAGGATTTTTGCCTTCTTTATATATTTGATATATTATTGACAAATATAAGATGAATTTTAGGATATTGCGATGACAGCAATTCGACTTCCACCATTGAAGAATCTGTAAATGACATCAAGCGAGTAAAGTTTCAGGCCAGCTACTTAGATGCCCTGTCAACGGCCATAAGGTAAACACACTTGTACTTGATGCAAAAAATAATTTTTTTTCTTATCCATCAACAATATCGATCAACAATAAAAGCATGCATTTGGTTTCTCCCGTTTCTTCATCCATTTGAAATTTTAAAATGCAATAAATTTATGCAGAAAAATTGAGTATTGACATTGCATCACGACTGATAATCTGTGTACTAAATGAACAGGAAGGGAGCAGATGTGAGGGGATACTTTCTCTGGTCCCTCCTTGACAACTTTGAGTGGACATTTGGATACACAAAACGTTATGGGCTTTACTATGTTGATCAGGTCACTCTAGAGAGAACCCCAAAGTTATCAGCAATTTGGTTCAGAAACTTCATTGCAGAAAATATAAGAGCTGAACCTAGAGCCAACAGCTAATTTCCCAAGTTTCCAACCTAGAGATCCTGCAGAATTTGCTATTTTTTGGATTGTACGAATGCAGAAGGAAATATATGTCTGACATGTACAAGTCCTATTGTTCGAAGTTGAATATTCTATTAAGATATTACCAAAAATCGTATCTGTTGATTTTCGAGCTTGACAACTAAGAATGATCACGAATGAGATCTTCCAGTACCTGAAATAAAGGAGTCGAGATATGCCCTTGTCGCACCTCCGATGCTTGAGTTAGAGGGAGAATTTATACGTGATGCTATAGACTAAAAGTTATGTAAAAACTTACCAGAATAATGAATAGAGGCTACATATTTATAGAGGGTATTTGACTTGTATTATAATTGTAATACCAATCATAATTTAATAGTAATATAATTGAGATAGAGCTCTCCTAAGCGTAGGAGTCTTGCGGTGAAATGTTTGGATCAAATTAGAGTCTTTAGAGAGCACGATTCTTTTTGGGTTTAAACAAGATCTTTGCAATTAAGCAAGGGAAGTGATCGAGGCCCCACGTGCCCTGGGCAGTTAAGAGGCATCTCGAGGATGTTGCCACTAAAAATATTGTGGAAGCGTGGTACTAGTCCTCGAGAATACCCCGAGGACACCAGAATACCTCATCGACTATATGACTCAGAAGTCCTTGGGTTCACCTTCCTTGGAAGGAAGACACCCTATAATGATCACACCACTGCTGTTCTGGTAGAATCCTTAAACTTAGAACAGACTCTGTGAATGTAATTCCGCAATCAGGCCCGAGATGCACTCCGTTATAATATGAAACATATGGCTAGAAAACACATAAGCCATACTTGATTTGATTGCTTTCATCTATAAACCAACTTAAGCTGAGAATTCCAACATTTGTAAGTTCACACAGAACACATTGTTTCAACTGCGGAGTGACTTAATTGTTTAAAAATAAAGAAAACTTAAAAGTGATAGCGGTCTACCTTAGGCAAGAGAACACAATCAACCTTGTCAACTTCTCTAGTCAAGCATCCAGCCATATCTAAGCTTTGTTAACCTCCACCATGGAGATCTAAACTCGTAAGGGTGCTCTTCCTTGTCCCATGAAATCTGATATCCTTGAAGACCAATAGGCAACAGCAATGCTAGGTTACTTTACGTGGCATACAATCTACTCTTCATCTTGCAGAGCTTATCATTCTCAATGATATATCATTTTTAATCCAGGCTAAATAGATCAAGCCCTGGATTATGCATCTCAGCAATCGCAGCTGGCATATACATGGATTCACCCCACAAAGGGGGGAACTTGCAAATTAATTTCAAATGTCTTGAGTGGTGATAGATATCAGGCCATTCCCTGAACAGCAGTGATCAAACTCGAGCAAATTGTCACTTCCCAATGGACCAAAAGCATACGAAAAAACTACGGATGAAAAGATTGGGAAATGCATATGTTAAGCAGCCCATCCTCTCTCCAGCTTCCCTTTCATCAAAGATTAAGACAGAACCAATCCCTGGCGTGTTTGACCTGTCAAAAGGTCAATTTTACATTATTATGCAAAATCTTTACAAGGCTATTCACAATCTTGAGTACTATACTTATTTTTAGTAAAGGCATATGGCCATGGAACCTGCTTGCATTCCAAGACCTGAACTCGGCAAAACTTCCAATACTTGGATGGCCGTTAAGTTGGACTGGTGACCACGTAGCAGAAATTGCTACTCTTTAACTGAGGCCTTTCGAACAATTGCACAAACCAACCATTCAACAAACTTTCTTCTAAAACCTTTTAATTAAAAATTAAAATTTGGAGATAGAATCCCTAAAATCGGAAAACACCAAAGCTAAGCGATTACCGAAAGGGTTGCCGTTATATATTCTGTCACCTTGCAATTTCGAATTTAATTATTAGTTACCATATTTAAAACACTTCGCTGGAGAAAAATTATAAGGAATTCGGGGAACTATGAGAAGAATGCAACCAAACCCACATTCACTCTTCTTCTTCCCAGCCATTTTCTGCTTCCGCCCAGCCTTTTTCTTGGGGGAATTTTCCTAAATGACCTACTACTATTCATTCTTGGTAAAATGTCTGTTATACCCTTAATGAAATAATTTATCATATATTGCACAAGATATCCTTAATTTATTGGGATAGTTTTAAATTCATCTATTTCTCTCATTTCGAGTTTTAATATATAATTTCATCCTTTGATCTAATAAATTAGCATAATCTGTAATATAATTGTCATGTAATTTACTAAGATTATCAAATTCCTTCGATAATATATCCATAATCTCTAATTGAGAATAAATATTTTCTATTTTTCCCATTAATCTGTCTAACAGATTATCTAATCCTTTAATTGTATAACCTGGCATTATTCAAATAATTCCTTGCAAGCTTTATGAATAATAACATATTTAGATAAATTTTTTGCAAACATGAACAGTAATAATCCCTACGATTCTTTCAAGATATTAGAAGAATTCTTTCTAAATTTAACAAAGACAATAATTTTACCTTACTTTTGATCTTAAATCTGTATTCTTAGAACCGAGTGACCTTCAGGCTCTGAATCTGCAAACTGCTCCCTCAAACGGCCTCTTGCCTTAATGGGAATTCTGCTATTTCAGCTTCTTGCCCTCACTGTATCTTTTCTTAGAATTAAGAATAAAGATCTTAAGTAAAGAAAAATTCTCTCTTTATTAAAGTAAGAAAGAGATTATCTTCTTCAATCTATCAAGAATCTATGGGATAAAAAGTTTAGAAACTCATATCTTTCTGATATCAAAAGATTGAGATTTTATTTCTATAATGATTTATACAAGATTTAAGGAAAGAGAATGGTTTCTAACTCGAGATGATCCATTCTTTCCCAAATACCTCTATTTATACATGATTAAAACTCACTATTATTGATCTATTACATCATTGCATACATCAGATTTTTGGAAAAAGGCTCACATGCCTCTCTATTCTTTTTCTCCTGGGGTCTACATTTTCACATGCATTCTTTGAATTTTCATCAAAGGGACCTCCTTTCTTCTATTATTGCCTTAACATCTTTGGCTTCATATGTAGCTGGCTAGATGCTTTTCTATTATTGATTTTCCATCTTTGGCTTCATACGCAGCTGGCCAGATGCTTTGGTAGTGGTAGGTTATTTTCCATCCATCAATCTCTCAATTTTGTCTACA